TTGCTGCGGAGCGGAAAAGTTTGGATTACGTATGTAATTCGTTTTATTTGGTGATAAGTTTATGCACCAAATTTGAGCGAAATTGGAGCCGATTCAGAATTTCGTCCGACAATTTTGTTGGTGTGGAATTGTCGATATTTCGAATGAATTAACTTGGGGTTTTGTGGATTTTGCAGATATTTGCATTGAAACCAAGATGGAAAATATCGTCTCGGGTAAAATTATGTATTTAACCGATGTCATTCACATTTAAAAATATCCGCCATGTTTGCCATATTCCATACGACAGATTTGTATCGGATGTTTTTTAATATTTGAAATAATCTGAACGTGATATTCCCCAAGTATGATCGTGTACAGACTAAAATCGTGTAGTTTGTTGCGTTATAAGTTGAGTTACTATGCACGATTTTTACTCACGACGATTCATTGATTTATCATAAATTTCCAACGAAAAATCATGCACGATTCGAAAAAAATCGAAGTATATAAACGACCGTAGTCGCTATTATCAGAACATTCGTTTGCTGAACATTGTTTAAAGTACTCTAAGCAGTATTGTTCACGAGCTGAGTTTTTAAAATTTGTAAAAAAAATGAAATCATTGGCAATTTTTGTGGTGTGCTTTGTGGCCTGTTTGGGTGAGGTGGCTCGATTTGATAACTATCGTGTGTATCAAATCACAATTGATAACGGAAAACAATTGGCTGTACTGGAACAAATTCAATTCGGATGGGATGGTGTTCAGTTTTTAAGGACCCCATTTCGTACACAAGAAGTGATCGAACTCGTAGTTCCGCCACACAAATTATGCGATGTTATCGAGCTTTTTAAATCGTTGAAAATAAAATATAAACTATTGACACCAAATATTCAAAGGTAAAAAAGGCGTACAGAACGTTTGATATACACAATTCATCTCATATTTAAATTCATAATAGTGTGATCGAAAAGCAGCTACAAGCAGGTTCCAAAAATTTGCATTTTGGATGGAAAAACTATTACAATGTATCCACAATTTATGCTTGGCTGGATGATTTACTACAGAAGCATCCAAACATTCTAACCAATTATAACTTTGGGACATCGTATGAAGGGCGTCCACTTCGTGCAATCAAAGTGTCTTACAGAAAAGTACGAATGAACTGTCCAACCAAACATTAATTCAATGGTTGATATGTTGACTTACATTTCTCGTTTCTCTCTTTTCCAATAGGGGAACCCAACCATTTTCATTGAAGCGACTATTCATGGTCGCGAATGGCCTGCAGCCGCTGTCGCTACTTATATACTTAATGAATTGGTCACACCTTCTGATGCTGAATTCCGACAATTGGCACATAACTATGATTGGGTTATTGTGCCAGTATTGAATGTCGACGGCTATGAGTACACCCATACGACTGTAAGTTCAATAGAATCCATTCAAAGGGACAAATCCGTTGAACTTTGTTAAAAACTGTCAAATATTTGTTTTTTTTTTCAAATACAGGATCGCTTGTGGAGAAAGACGCGCAAGCCGCATCCAGTCAAGGTACTGTTTTTTTTCGAAATTTAATTTCTTCGATTTATATCATTCAACGAGAATGAATCTCTTTTTTTGAATTTTTCTACATGGATCCCTTGAAGAGCTACTGCGTTGGTGCTGATGGAAACCGAAACTTCGACATTCTTCATGCAGGTACTTGTCAGTTGTTGCTTATACTAGAGTGTGATAATTTACAAATAAGTCGAATATGTTTATGCATTCGTTTAAAATGATAGAAGTTGGAGCTTCGAACGACCCTTGTACGATTGGATATCCCGGACCGGAACCATTTTCAGAACCAGAGACTCGTGCTTTGGCCACATTTATCAAGTCTTTTGATAATATTAAGTTATACCTTGCGTTCCATCAATATGGTCAATTAGTGCTATTTCCTCATGTAAGTGAGACAAATGAAAACTAATATTTCAATTTAAATAGAAAAACACATGAATTTTTCCTGACTTTTCAGAGTTACACATCCGCACGTGTACACAATTACGATGATTTGGTAAGATAGACGCATATCGATTTCTCGACTATGCATTCCAAAGCTCCTTTTAATTTTCCACTTTAATTTTAGCATAACATCGCCGAAAAAACCAAACGAGCTATTTCAAAACGGTATGGAACAAGGTACACCATTGGAAGTGTTGGCGAAACAATTTGTAAGTTAATCCAATGGGATTTCAATTTAACACAATATGCTTTTCAAAAAGAGAACCGATTTTCAATCAATGAAAACGACTTTCATTGATATATTCCATTCGTTGTTCGTTTTAGTTGCAATTTCGGGCACTTCCATCGATTGGGTACATCAGGTTCAAAATATTTCACTCACATTTCATTGCGAGTTCCGTGATACTGGTAAGCATTTATAACATTATTATTTAGAATAAGAAAATAAATGTGATTTTTGTTCTCATCCTATAGGAAATTTGGGATTCCTTCTTGCACCCGAAGAAATTCTTCCCACCGCACTAGAGTTTGTTGATGGTCTAAAGGCAATGGTTCGAGAAGCAAAAACACGGAAATATTTATAAAATGATTTTATTGCGAAATTGTAACAACTAAACTGAATTGACCATACAAATGTTGGTACTAAACATGAAATGCTTTATTTGATTCATCGAAAATTTTCTAATAACTTGAAACAGATTTTGTTTATTACGGTTATTAAATCGTAAGCAGTAACTTATTCAGAAAATTAATTTTTTTTCAACTTCTCTAATATTGAATTTGTGATGTACCGACTGAGCGAATCGATTATTTTGGGACATAGTCGACTGGTTAAAAGTGATTATTCTGTACAAAAACAACGATCACAGTTAAGTGAAATTACAACTTGACTGCAGTCAAATATGTACCAAATTAAGCGATTGAAAATTAATTAAGCAAAGAATTCGCAAAATTCGTGAAATATTTGAATGAATTTGAAATCAAAACGCGTGCGAAATGTGCGAATTCCTGTCGATTCGCGAATACACAAATTCATCTACCTATATTTTTCATACAAATCATCTGCGCAGTTAATTAAGTCGCTTATTAGTTGATTTCAGCTACAGCCAGTCATTCATTTGTTTTCCATACGGGAAGATGTAAGTTCGTTGCAAATATTTGTGCCGATCGTCTTTTTTACGTACACACATCCATTGACTTGTTCATGTTACTTTGAATCCATGGCAAAAAATTGGTCACACGGGTATAAAGTGCTGGTACTCCAAGAGTACCGCATGTTGGACCACTGAAATATACAAAAGAATTTTTCATTATATTCCTAAAAAATACAACTGGATTGAAGAGTTAGTGAGAATAATTGAATTGTTGCGACTTACAATGTATGTATTCCGACTAATTCCATGCTTCCGTGTTCATTTTCAACGACCATCTGCTCAATTCGGAACTATGAAGCGGAGAAAATATCAAGAAGATTTCATTAATAGAAAGTATTTTTGAAATTGAATATCTATTGTCAAGTTTTCTTGAAAAAATCATCTTACATCATTGTTACAATCTCTGTGAGCTCCATTTTCATATTCTCCGGCGCAAATCATATTTTCGGTGAATTTGTTTGCATAATCAGGTAGTTTGGCGCATTTTTGGTTTGTCCAGATTGGAAATTGGATTTGTAGTAATTTGGATTTGGATACGAGAGAAGATTTGGATTCAGTGTCATGCCAACCAGCAGCTGTGGCTATTTTTCCAGTATAAACAGACGAAGATTTTGGCAAACAAATTGGTTGAATGTTATATCCAAAGGGGACTACGGCATCTAATTGCAAAATTCCAATGTTATAGTCAGAAGTGCGGAAGTTGTAATTTTCATGTCGATAGATGTGAACTATTCCTCGTTTCACTGTATTGATGGCATTATGACCTAGGCGAACTTCAACGTGACTCCCCTTTTCACGATTCCTTATCACATGCTGTGCGCATTTGGCTGAGATTACCACGTGTTTTTCGGAAATCAAAGAACCAGAGCACTGAAAATACCCAACACCATAAATGCCAACCGCCCACGGATATTGATTGGACTTTGTGTAAACCTCATCAACTATTTGTTTCCCATTTTCGCGTAATCCACAAGCTAATCAAGTTGGAAATGGAAGCAGAGATCAGTATTTTGTTATAAAATGAATATTTTCAACGGAAAAATATGTTCGTTTCAAGGTCGGGTGGCAGCTAAGATCGAAAACAACTTGAATGACAGCTGTGGCGATGCGAGCGCTCTCAATTTCAATCGGCAAATCTATATAATTTCGTAACTTTTTTCTGAACTAAACAGCACGCCAATTTGAATTTTCTTGATGCTACCACCCTATGAGGAAAACGTATATATATTTATCATCGTCTTGCTTGATCACTCAAAAAAAAATGAGAGATAGTATTACCACAATTACAGGAGCTGTTCGCAGGTGGTTCTAAACACATTCCGGTTTGTTTTTTTGGGACCTCAATCTTATTCAAATCCTTGTTCTGTTTGCTCTCCTTAGGTGCACACATGCATTTATTGGTTAATTTACTTTGAATCCATGGCAAAAAATTGGCTACACGGGTATAAACTGGTGGTATTCCAACAGTACTTTTTGGACCACTTAAATTGATAATTATATTAATTTTAATCTTCTAAACAAAATCAAAATTGATTGCAACGTTACGACTTACAATGAATATATTCCGACTAATTCCATGCCACCGTTATTGCCTGCAATGGCTAATTGTCCATGGTCGAAAGTCTATAAAATGGAAAAAGAATGCATATTGAAAAGAACTACTAGAGTATAGAGTACTAAGGAACTAGGGTTTTTTCTTCTTAAATAATAAGCCAAACTTACACCATGCAAAGAAGGTCTGCGAGTAGCCTTTTCATAATCTCCTGCGCATATCATGTTGTCGGTAAATTTGGTCGTATAATTAGACACTTCAGCGCACTGTTCATTCATCCAGATAGGAACATGAGTTTGTTGTGATTTGGATGCAAATCGCGAAAATATTAAATCCGGTGTCGAAGAGTCATACAGGCCAATGGTTATGGCCAATATTCCAGTGTAATCCACGAATGGGGATTGAGGTAAACAGATCGGTTGAATGTTGTATCCAAATGGAACTACGGCATCCAATTGCAAAATGCCAATATCAAAGTCATGGCTCGAAGATAATGGTGCATAATTTTCGTGTCGATAAATACAAATAATATTCCGTTTGACGGTATTGATGCCATTGATATCATTGCTACCCATGCGAACTTGTGTTTTATAATGCAGTTGATCGCGAGCCCTTACAGCATGAACAGCACATTCAGCTGAAATTAACACATGTTCATTCGAAATTAAAGCGCCAGAACAAAGAAAATTCCGAAAAGTTGGTCCGAAAAATACTCCAACGGTCCACGGATTTTCATCGGGTGGAGTAGCAGTGTCACCGATTTGTTTTTCTCCACAAACTAAAAAAAATTGAAAACAAAATTAATTGGGTTATACGTTGTAGAACAGATTTATCTTCTAAACAAATTCAAATGAGGTGTTATGTGTTTTTTATTCTAGTTTTGAATTTAATTCAATTAATTCGACAAAAATTACCACAATCACAGGAATCATCTTTAGATGGATAGCAATTTACGACGATTACAACAACCAACGCTATGAATATTTGGGTAATATTCATTTTGAGCACTTTTATTTTAACCATCAAGAGGAATTAATTCACAAATTTACACCGTTTGAAGTTACTTCTAAATGTTCGAAATCGTTGTTTCTACGAGACGAAACGTACGTGTCAGCCGCATGGACTGTCTTTGAATACTGTTCGTTTTTAAATTTTTCATAAATGTTAGAGCAAAAAAATATTCATTTGCGGCAAACTTAAATCAAAGATATACATGCTAAGGGAGAGACACGAAACTTAAATGAGTAAAATTAGAACATTATTCAACGATAATAGGAAAAATAGAAGAAATTAGTGAGTTTGGTTTGCCAATGTTAACGCTTATAGACATATTGTCTATTGTTTACAAAATAGTCCCGTTAAGTCTTCCATAAGCGTTGTATTGACAGCGATTTTACTAGAAATAATAGCACAATATTAGCACTTTTGCACCAAAACTAGAAAAATTAGAGGACATAAAGCAAAAAATATATAAAATTGAGTGTAACTAGACTCTAATAGAATTCATGTCTCGCCCCTAGTATACATGTATGTATTTATAAATAGACATGCAAAGAAACGGTCAATTTCTTCTAAATATACCTTACACACATCCTAATTATGTGTTAAACTTTGTGAAATAATAAAGGAAAGTAATTAGTGCATCAGTCAAAAAATAATCCTTTGTAGGTAACAAACATAATTCGGTTTAATCCTATTTCAATAGAGAAGTATGTTGGTGATGGCGACAAGATGTATTAGCAGGGTTGACTGAAGCGTAATGAGCTATCGAGTAACAGCCGAAATGCCACTGTATTTGCAAGTTTCAAACAATGTTCGTTTCTCATAAGTTTGATAAGCATAAATACATACATTACGGATAGTTGATGCACAAGTATTTTTTATAATACATAAACAAATCAGATATAAAATAGAGAGTTGAACATTACATTGAAATTTCATAATTCAACAATTTTATTAGGATCATTGCCGATTTGAGCCGTATTTTCGTCGAGTTGACGTATTATTATTGAAAATCTCCCATGCCCGTCAAGAAATCATCGAAAATCATAACGTCATCATCTGCAAGTCGATCGAATGGAAAAACCCATTGCCAGTTTTTCCGGATACTTTCGGTTTTGTAGGCCGCACAATACATAACTATCGCTGCAAATACCGTTCGATGGATTGTGATCAACCTTCAAATGAACAAGGCATTTTTTGTGAAAACAATCGTCTGCTCGAAATTTGTTCGGGTTTCGTTACCTTATCGAGCTTATAATCGGAAATCACGGAATGAATAGTCATTTTCAGATGCTTATAAATAAAATCAAATAAAATCTTCAAATGGATCCAAAATGGAAAAAGTAATTATTGGGCGACACAATGTTGCATACTTCAATTCACTATCAATTCGACAGGGTATAGCAATCTTTTTAGTTTGCATAAACATTTGGTTTTGGGTTATAGATTACATATTATTTTGCTGCCGCTGATATGGGACCCCCACTTGTAAAAAACCACACCGACAAAACTCATGTCAACACATAATTAATTTGTTACAATGTAATTTTATTTTTCTTCAAATGATACAAATAGTTACTAACATTGTTGTCGTCGAACTCGCTAAAATGTCGAATGGACGGACGTAGTTGCGGTATTTTTTTTCATTTCTTTAAATTGATTGTAAAGTATTTCCTGAAAGGTTGGGTTAGTATATGAATAAGTCCATTTAAATGCACTTAGACTTATGAGAAAAAAAATCTGTACTGCAATTGAGGTAAGTATAAAAATCAAAGTCACATCGCTAAAGTCTACATTACAGCTCCAACCGCTTTTTATTCCGCATCATTTAAGAGTGAAGTTTTTGAAGTAAGCAAGTAATATTTCGATTCTAGCAGTTAACATCCCTTGAAATAATAACAAATAAAATTTAATATTTGTCGTGATTTTTAATTTGAATCGATCCTCATATTTAAGTTATTTCCACAATGGAAACTACCCCAAATAATTCTGCTCCTGAATGAAACTCAGCACGGGCCATTCAAATTATCTACACAGATAATCACATATTTAAAATTAATACAAATGAGTTCAACCAAATTCCCAATATTAACAACATAAAAGATCATCACGTTGTCGTTGTATCAATTGCGGGTGCATTTCGAAAAGGCAAAAGTTTCCTGTTGAATTTTTTCCTCAAATATTTGAATGCCCAGGTAATTTTTAGTTTTCAATGTGGAAAAAATGCATAATTTTTGGATCATTTTTAATTGTCAATCGAACAGTACAAAAGACATGATGTTTCGGATTGGCTTGGTGAAAATGGAAACAGCAGTGTATTGAGTGGTTTCAAATGGCGAGGTGGCAGAAAGCCTGAAACAAATGGGATTTGGATGTGGTCGGAAGTGTTTACTCATGACTTTAGCAATGGCGAAAAGGTTGCCATCATTCTACTGGATACGCAAGGAATTTTCGATCATCAAAGCACTCGACGCGATTGCACTACGACCTTTGCACTCAGTATGCTATTGGCCTCGGTGCATTGCTATAATGTCTTGCAAAATGTCCAAGAAGATGACTTGGAAAATTTGGAAATGTTCACCGAATATGGTAGACTTGCAATTGAACAAACCCATCAAAAACCATTTCAAAAGTTGCTTTTCATCATTCGAGATTGGCCGAATGCATTTGAAACTGGCTACGAATGGAACGGTCAACAAGTGATCGATGAAATTCTGAGCGAAGCTGATGGCCAAACGGTCGAAAATCACCAGCTAAGAGAACGCATCAAGTCAAGTTTCGAAGAGGTTAAGGCATTTTTGCTCTGCCTCACCCAGGCAGAGCTGTGGCAAATGGAACATTCACCGGGCAATTGCAACAAATCGATCTAGAGTTCATCAAATATATGTCAAACAATTGGTTCCAGCTCTGTTTGCTCCTGAAAACCTCGTCATCAAAAAGATCAACAATGAAAGGGTACGAGCTAGTGATTTGGTGCAATATTTACAGGCATATGTCAACATTTTTAACCTTCAAACCGTGAAACCTATTTTCTAACGTTGTTCGTGAAACCGGTGCCTGAGTGCTCATAATGCATTTTATATGGGAAATGTCAGTTTTTTCTTAAATTGCTATTTTTAAATGCAAATATTTCAGTATTTATTGATCGGAAAAGTATGAAAATTACTTTGAAATGTTATAAAAGTCATAAAAAATCGAAATATGACAGACAACAGCAAGTTTCTTGGAATTTTTTCAATAAAGTGGGAATTGCAATGTTGATCTCTTCACAAAAATGAAGGCAAAAACATATACATACAAATTCCACTATGGCCGATTTTGACGTCAAAAATTGAGATTTTGAACGGCAGGTTGGATCAAAAAGTTATGTATATCACTGGAAAGGTCTTGAAAAGTAGATGTCATTTTTGGTATAAAACTTCAAAATAGGCCGGCATTTGGCCAATGTTTGGCCGTTGGAATCTATTTGGCCAAAATTGATAAAATGGCCATATTTTGATAAAATGATGATCGATTTTGATGTTTTATAACTCAAATTACATGTACTTTTCAAGATCTTTCCAGTGATGCATATTTCATAGTTCCCACATTAAATCTTATACGCAATTTGTCGAAAAATGTATATGGGCACTCAGGCACCCATTTCACGTATAGCGGCATCACACATGTTTACGCGCATATGTGGTAAGCTAGTGCGCGTATGTGGGTATGTTAACCCAATTTTTGTAGCCAAATGTTCAACGAATCGAACCATAGTTAATTCATTAATTTATGATAAGAAATAATTAAGTTTTGAACATTCAAAGTTGGTTTTGGGCACACAGTGCCCATTTCACGGTTTGAAGGTTAATGGCAACACATTGCCCGAACCAAGAACTGTTTTCCAGGTATGTACCGTGCCAGTGGCTTTTTATTGTTAAATCTCGAACAAATTATTTTATTTTTATTGATTTATTTTAAAAATAATTCTGACTGATTCGAAATATGCAACGACCGAAGTAAACAATTCCATCGTTTACGCGGAGTGTTTGAGTTTTTATGAAGTTTCGATGCAAAATGTTATGAAAAATGCTTCACCATATTACACAAGTGAGCAACTTCTGAATATTCATCAAGAACTCAAGGATGAATCAATGAAAAAGGTGAATTGAATTGACCCATTCCACTTTCAATCGAATTTGGTTGTATGCAGTGTTTTTTTTAGATAATGAAAACTTGCCTAGATCAGATACCAGATAAATCGGCTTTTCACAAAATCTATATAGTTACAGATATAGATGAATATCTATCTAAAATCTAGATAAATAAACACTATATCTACCTAATTTTTAGATAGATTTGAATGTCATATTATCTAGATAAGATAATTAGATAACTTTTTACTTTTCCGCAAACTTTGTTTGTATGGAAAAGTATTGGTTTTACTAGCCAAAATTTCATGACATCTCCTCTTTCGGACCACTATAACGTCACGCCAAACTTCAAAAAGCACATATCTGTACACTAGGCAATGTAGATGGGATCAAATCCTATCGATCAAGACCTATCTACCCCCAAAAACATGTTGTTTACTATGAAAAATGTGCAAAAGCGTTCGCGTGGGTATGGCGTCGTCCGCGTTCGCGTTCGCGTCCGCGTTTTTTGTTCGCCGATTATCTCAAAAAGTTGACAAGATAATTGAGATCTGTAAAAGCCAAAAGTTTTGGCATGTCGAGACAAAGCTTCGAATTGATTTTGAGCCCATTCTGATTTACCAATTTCGTACCATAGGCCTCCGACTGAGGACCTGAAAAACCTTGAAAAATGACACTTTTGTACGGGAAGTACCCGAAAAAAGCATTTTTCAGGGTTTCAATCAAGGCAAACTGCCTTTTTTTTGCAAAAAATAATGGGAGCCTTCAAACAACCGAACACCCACTTGCCCATAAATTTGGTCCGAAATCAACATTTCTTGAAATTTTTGAAATTTTGTTCGAAAATGACACTTTTGTATGGAAAACGGTCGAAATAGTTATATTTCAAGGTCAAAAAATGCTATTGGGTGTATGCATTAAAAACGAGAGTTTTTTATAGAAAAATAATCATTTAATTCAATAACAAAGTGAAATTATATTTCAATCAAAGTATTGCCCATCGGCAGCGACATATTTTTCCCATAAATCAGGCACTTTATGGATTCCATCCTAAAAGAACTGCGCCGGCTTGGCGGCCAAGATCGAATCAAGCCAATTTTTGACTTTTTGAAAACAAGTGAACCGTCCTCCACTTAGGTGATATTGAATCGACTGAAACCAGTGGTAGTAAGAAAGCGCAATGTCTGAGGATTACAGCGGGGGCATAAAGGATTTTCAAAATTAATAGCTTCTTAGAAATTTTGGACTTGATAGCCAAAAAGTCATTAAAAAATTTCCTCAAAAATTCGCTTTTTTGCGGCGATACCTAAGTCAATTTTTCGATTTTGCTGTCAGAAATTGGTATATACCGATTAGTTTCTGTTGGGAACGATAAAAGCTAACATTTTGATAAGTTTCTACCACCTTCCAATGTACCATATCTGCCCCAACCCCGCAAATATGGAAAATCACCCTTTTTCGAGGGAGTGATTGTGGCGCCCCCTATAATGACAAGTAACCACGATCAAAATGTGGTTTGATATGCTTGTATCTATCGAGAAACGTCCATTCTTCACTACCAGTGTCCACTCGATGAAAGAATAATCTATTTTTCACATTTTTCCCGTATGAAAATAACTGCTCCCGCAAATGACGTTTTTTTGGTTCGAAATTCTCCATATTCGTAACTAAATTTTTCGCTTTGTTTACACTTTGGGCAAATGACAGATGGTAATTTTTGTAGTCTGTCATTAGCCCTACCATATGAAGTTGGCACCAGTATTGCCCGATGCCACCAGCGATGGTGGTGCCATCCGGCGAAAATCGCTCGTTTTTAATGCATACACCCAATATGAAAAAAGGGTACATTGAAATTTTGGTTAAACACTAAGCGGGAGTTAAACTAAATTGCTGCGGAGCGGAAAAGTTTGGATTACGTATGTAATTCGTTTTATATCATCATAGTTTTTACATTTTTATATATGTATGTTTAGGTAGGTCAGTTTCAATATGATATTATATATCAATAGATTGAATTTATTTTCTGTCGTTATCAAATAAAAGAATAAACATTAATTGAAAGATGAATGAAATCGAATCTTTACATATATGATATCATATTAAAACTGACCTTCCTGAACGTGAACATATATAAAACCGTTAAATTTTATATATACTATATATCTATTGACTAGATCGAGAGGAGAGTAAGTTCATCTGACTTTGTTGTGAAAGAGAAGAGTAAGTTTCTTTCGACTCAAAAATGGTTAAAGGCGAGTATGTTCATTTCTATCTGCGTCAAAAGGAAGTATGTTGGCATCCCGTCTAGCTTCCACGGTTTTCCACGGTTTCCGCGGAACTGATAAGAGATAACAACTTGGTTTCTCCGGCAAAGTTGTAGCACTTGAGGTCTTCTATAGTATTGCTGAAGTCAGTTATCTCTTATCTCTTATCAGCTCCGCGAAAAGCGCGAAAAATGATAAGAAAAAAAAAGTTCTATATAAAATTTGCTTTTTTATGTGCGCGATTTGCGCGCAACTGATAAGAGATAAGAGATAGATGTCTTCAGCAATGTTATAGAAAACCTCGAGTACTACAACTTTGCCGGAAACACCATGTTGTTATCTTTTATCAGTTTCGCGGAAACCGTGAAAAACCGTGGAAGCTAGACGGGATGCCAACATACTTCCTTTTGACGCAGATAGAATCAACAGAAATCATACTCTCCTCTTTCAAAATATATTAGAATTTTTTCACATACTCTCCTCTCGATCTAGTCAATAGATATGAGGGCCTGAGAGTGAAAGTGACCAACAAAAAGTTGAGCGTAAAAGTGACCTTACTCCATACAGAACAGCGTGACGGTAGCATGTGTTTTGTATGGAGTTAGGTCACTTTTACGCTCAACTTTTTGTTGGTCACTTTCACTCTCAGGCTCTCATATATATATATATATATATATCTCCATATTTAAATGACAAGACATATATGAGTCATGATTTATTTTTGCGAATTTTTTTTCTTGATGAGTTTCAGAATGTTTATTCCTGTATTGCCATTTTCATTCTCACAGCCTTATATATATTTTCAGTGAAAAATTTTCACAAACAATCGATAACAGAAATAAATTTGATCCTCACTCACTGCATACTAAGAGCGTAGCAAAGCACGCGGGGTAACGCTAGTATATAGATATAACAGGTTTCCCTTATATGGCACAGAATTGGCATTAGGGAGGTAATATTGACGAAAAAGGGTGAAAAAATCGCACAATCACACCACAACTGCACAAATCATGGCAGTGCACATACTTTTTGACCAGAAACGATTGCATTTTCGAATTTCCCGTCAAAAAGTAGTCTAAGAAGGATCGGTCCAAAATTTGTTTTGAACTTTACGATGAAAAAATCAATCGTTTATTCAATGAAAACCAATATTCAACATTACCATTGAAAGCAGCCAAATGAAGAGGTGTATCATTAGAATTATTTTCAATATTAACTTCGGCTCCACGGTCGATGAGTTTTCGAGCTTCCTTCGCATTACCTGGAAAATAATGCAGACCAAAGAAGTAGATTGAACAAAACAATTTTTTAGAACATAAATACTCGAAATTACCAGTCTGAGCAGCATTATGCAGAAGTGCCTCTCCATTTATGTCTTGTTCGTTTACTAAAAGTTGAAAAATAGAAAATCAGTGAAGTGAATCGAAAGAAATTGTTGCGTACAGTGACGCAGTGTGCTGTGTGAGTGAA